ACTTTCTGCTATCCTTCCTAGAAGATCCCATGGACACAGAAGCTTATTTACAGTTCCATCCTGGGACAGGGAAGGCTGCCTCAGCACCCTGCCTGCCAAAAGTAGAAGCCTATCAGCAGCTCCTCCTGATCATCTTCCTGATGAACAGCAAGTGCTACAAAGAGGCACAGAAAATATCCAGTGACCTCATGCAGAAGGTCAGTACCCAGAACCACCAGACCCTGGACCTTGTGGCTGCAAAGTATTACTATTACCAACCCGGGTCTATGAGTTCCTGAACAAGCTGGACATGGTGCGTGGGCGGTTTCCTGTATGTTCGACTCCATACAGCCACTCTTCTGCATGATGCTTATGGACAGGCCACACTGCTAAACCTCTTGCTGTATAACTACCTACACTACAGCTTATATGACCAGGCAGAGAAGCTGGTGTCCAAGTCTGTGTTCCTGGAGCAGGCCAACAACAATGCATGGGCACGGTACCTCTACTACACAGGGCTCATCAAAGCCATTCAACTGGAGTACTCAGAGGTCAGGAGAACAATGAACAATGCCTTCCACAAGGCCCCTTAGCACACAGCTGTCGACTTCAGGCAGACAGTACACAAACTTCTGATTGTGGTGGAACTGTGACTGGGGAAGATCCTGAATCAGCTGCAGTTGTGTCAACACTCCCTCAAACACTCACTAATGCCCTACTTACTCTGACCCAACCTGTCAGGACCAGAAACCATGCCAAGTTCAATCAGGTCTTGGATCAGTTTGGAGAGAAGTTTTAAGCAGATGGGACGTACACCCTCATCATCCAACTGCAGCACTATGTGATTGAGACAGGTGTTTGCATGATCAACATCCCCTATTCATGGATGTCTCTAGCCGACATTGCCCAGACATTCTAGCTGGATAACCCAGAGGATGCAGAGTTCATTGTTGCCAAGGCCATCTGGGATGGTGTCAGTGAGGCCAGTATCAACCACAAGAACTTCAATGTCCAGTCCAAGGAGATGATTGATGTCCATTCCACTTGAAAGCCCCAGCTAATCTTCCACCATTGCATCTCCTTTTGCCTTGATACGCACAACATGTCCATCAAGGTCATGAGGTTTCCTCCCAATCATATAACAAGGGTTTAGAATCTTCAAAGGAGCGGCAAGAACTAGAGCAGCAAGACCTAGAGTTTTCCAAAGAGAGGGCTGCAGATGACAATGACAACTTCCCCTGAGCTGGGGGGTTGAGGCGGGTGGGTAAGGGGGGGTTGGCTCTTTTTATTTCCCCCTTGGGGTTCCGCTGCCCAGGAGCTGGCCTCCATTCCCACACACAGCTCACAGACTACCTATTTGCAGAGGGTGAGAAGTTCAGGGAGCCAACCACCTTCGCCTCACCCAGGGACCCTCCGCTGGTGACCTAATATCTGGGGTCAGGTGGACTCCCGGGGCAGGGTCCTGGCTAGTGATGTGGCCAGCAGGATGGACGGGAACAGACCTGCACTAAATAGGGACATGTGTTGGGTTGTATGTTTTTGAAGCTACAATTATGATTTTTTGATTTTTAAACAATAAAATGTTCTTAAATATATATATACTTACATATATGTGTCCACCACTCATCTGTCAGTTTGTCATGCTATGGTGGCTTGTGAGTTATTGTGATTCTGAATAGAGAAACACTGTCAGATACAGTGCTGGAAAATGAGCCCCTCGGCTTGGAAGGCACTCAAAATGCGACTGGGGAAGAGCTACCTCCTCAAATAGAGCTGACCACGATGACACGAATGGAGTAAAGCTCATTTGCTGATGGGACACAACTCAAAATGAAGAGACAGCTGTAAACATCCAGTGAAAATTGGAACATGGAATATACGAGGTATGAATCTGGGAAAATTGGAAGTTGTCAAAAATGAAATGGAAAGAATAAACATTGATATCTTAGGCATTAGTAAGCTGAAACGGACAGGTATTGGCCATTTTGCATCTGACAACCACATGGTTTATTATGCCAGGAATGGCAAATTGAAGAGGAATGATTTTGCATTCATTAGCAAAAAGAACATATCCAGATCAGTCATGAGGTACAATACTGTCCGTGATAGGATAATATCCATGCATCTACGGGGAAGCCAAGTTAATACCACCACTATTATTAAAATTTACGCGCCAACCACTAAAGCCAGTAAGGTTGAAATAGAAGAATTCTACCAACTTCTTCAATCTGAAATTGATCAAACATGCTATCACGATGTCTTGATCATTACTGGTAATTGGAACACCAAGGTTGGGAGCAAAGAGGGAAGACCAGTAGTTGGAAAATATGGCCTTGGTGATAGAAATAATGCTGGAGAACACATGATAGAATTCTGCAGAACCAATAATTTGTTCATTTCAAATACCTTCTTTAGACAGCATAAGAGA